ACTGTATACATTATGGTTTTACAGCTGTGATACAGTCTTCATCAAGCAGTTCACAATAATCGACTCTCACAAAGTCATTAAGGTATTTATTTATTTATTTATTTATTTATTTATTTATTTATTTATTTATTTACTTACTTACTCTGCTCATTGGCTTGCTACTGGCCTCCCTCTCTTAATCAAACTCATCTCCACATGGCAATAAATGGGGAAAATATCACACCAAGCACTTACCATCAATATAATTGCTTGCATACATTGGTTCTGCCTCCCTGAATTTCATGTTGTTTTCTTTCAGCGGTCATGAAACCGGATATGGGAGACTGCTATGCTTTTTGAAACCAATACACACATTCATTGTCTTCCAAAGGTGTTCGTGAGAGTGTAGGGAGTAGTTGAGGAAAAATTAACTCCAGTAGATTTATGTGAATAAACTAATTAGGGCATTTTCTCCACCTACCAAATAATCTGCAACAGGATTTAACCACTGGTCTCCCTCAGGTTGCTGCACAACCAACCAACATGCAAGCAAAGCATTTTATTTTAACTGAAGCCGAGGTGCATGAGTTGAGCATGATGTTGCAGTCAATGTTAAATATGTTTTTTTGTTTTTTAGTGAGATCAAAAGCAAAAAAAATATTTTCTAGTAACTTTTGTTAAAATTGCCATTGAAAAAACTAAAGCATGTTTTTTTATCTATTTGTTTGTTTGTTTTTATGGCTTCATTTTACTTCTTATCACATGTGGCCACATGTGTCTTCAATGTGTTAACCACAAACTATAAAATAGTTCAGCTTTTTTTAAAATGCAGCCAGCCAGGGTAAATGAAAATTGTTCTTGGACATTGTACACTGTGCATATCTTGCTTGAGCAGAATTGAAAAGTCCTGCTGACATTTTTTTTGTCATAATAACTAATTTTGTTTGTCTGCTGGTTTGTCCATTGCCCTACATTGCCAGCAGCATCCTTTTGTAAAAACAATTTGATTTTGTGACATGGCCTCCTCATAGATGAGTGATATCCCTCCTGTGGTGAGAAGCAGGATTATTTATTTCCTCAACCCTACCACACATGAAGAAAGATGGGAATTGCAAACTGAAGTCTGGGGAAAGGGACTATAAGGGACCTGTATACCAGCTAATATCCAAAGAGTATTTTTAATGGAGGCTTTGTGGAACAATATTGCATTTAACTGGTTGTGTGTAATGTTGGCAGGGCGCCTGTGTACTATTGTGTCTCATTGGTTTTAGCCTTGTGTCAGCGATCTGTTTGCATAAGGATAGAGAACACACAACCTTTGTAAATAATGCAAATCTGCCACTGGGCTTTGCTTTGTCTGTGTGTTTTATAATGTTTATTTTTGTTTTCAATTTCTGTTTCTTGGTTTTCAATGATCTTCATTTGTCTCTTTCTTCCTTTTTCTGTCTCAAGTATAAATCAGGATTACTCATTCTCTAAACTCCTGCACAACAATAATCCAAACCACCCTCTGCATCAAATCAATGCATGTGTGTTTGTGTGGCAAATCAATCAATCCTTCCTTAGAGCCTAACGATCATTGGTTTGATGAAGCTGTTTATAATATGATGGTGTGATATATCACCACTTGAATGAAATGTAAAAATGCAAACATCTTGGGTCTTACAAGGGATTACCTGACAGATGGATTTAATGTTGTGATTCTACTAGAGATTAATAGAGATTAATCGATTGTGTCTACTCACAACATTATATAGAAAACAAAAGTTTGAGAAAGAAACTACAAAATGTTCAAAGGTTGCAATAACACCTGTGTGATATAGGGTTGTCTTTTCTGCTTCAGGAAATAACAGCTTCAACATTTTTACTTTATAGTTCATTGTCCTTAGCATAACATTCGTTTTATTCTGACAAAAACAGCTGAACTCCAAGCATTTGTGGTGTTTTTGTTCTGACTGTGCACTTTGATCTATTTTCACAGAGATTCTTAATGGAGGAGTGTATGTGGACCAGAACAAGTTCCTCTGTCATGCAGATACGATCCACTGGCAGGACATTGTCAAGAATCCACGAATTCATCCTGTTGTGGTGCCCACTAACAGTAGTGTCACATGTAAGTTATACAACAACACATCTGAAAAGGCCAGGATTGTGCTTTTATAAATTTTAACTTCTGTTTTCAGAGTTGAACAAAGATGAATGTGTATTTTTTTTTTCATTTCTGTCTTTCACACCTCCACATTTATTTAAACCTATAGAATATTTTCTAAAACCATAGCTGGATCTTTGCACTTTAACTCTGGGGCTCATTACATTGAGTCCTGCATTGCCCTTCAGTTATACTCTGAATGTGAATAATTGACCAGTGAAAGTTTACTTGGAAATCACAGATATTTTGCTACTGAAAACCACAACTTCAAGTTGCTGACCCGAGGAAGATGTCTGGAACAGTCAGGGACACCTATCAAGTGTGTTGACTTGCCATTTTGATTTCAAAACCCTTTAACTTAACTTTATTTTGTAAATATTTTACATGTTTGAGCGTTTTTCTTCTCTAAGATTTTTGTGCAATAATTTGTACCTTCTGAAGTTTCACTTTTGCCAATATATATCATTTTTGTAAATGGACAGTTAATGACTGCAGAATTAACATGTTTGCTAAAACAATATTGAATCAAAGCATAGCCATTCTTACTTGAAGCCCCTGTAAATGCCTCCTACATGGCAGTAAAGCTGGTAAGTTGGGAGGACATAATTGATTCTGAGAAGATGTCACATCTTAACCTTTTCCATTCACTCGTGATAAGTGGCTGCATGTGAGCAGCAAAACATTACCACCAAAACGTCACCCTGCAACCCTATTGTGTTGTTCTGCTTACCATAACAATTTTCTAATACTGCTTTCCCAAATCACTTTAATGCTCCTCTGTTGCCAGCTGGAAGACATGTTAATGAACACACTGAGTTATGATGGGGTTTYTTGGAGCGAGTCTGTGTGGAAGTGAAGGGTGGTTGATGTGCGATGTGGTTGTCAGGGAAGTAAGAATAAATTTAGTCACCCCTTCTGACCCCTTTCTGTCCATTCACTGACTAAACATCTTATTGCTCTTTTTTATTAATTCACTTCTTATACTGTGAAGTCCCCCCCATCGTCATGTTCAATGTTTATTATAATCTACATTATCATTAAAAATAAAGAGACAGTAAGCATATGTCCTTGTATATCTGTTTCACAGCACTTACTGGAGGCTTCAAATGCATATTAACTAGTAATGGCATTGATATTCTGCTCAATCATCCACCTCCCTGCAGCCCTCTTAGCCTCGGATCGACCCCTTCTCCCGTGTATGTCGTCTACGCCAACCAAAAGATCAAGGGTCGACAAATTTATAATCAACTACTAAGAACATAATCTTTATTTTATTCTTTGGGGGTAGCACAATCTTTACAATGGTATTTTTATGTTTTGTCTGTGCTATCATTTTGTACCAGTGGGTTCATTAAAAAAATAAAATCTGAGTGTTGACCAAAGACAAACCTACTTTATTTTGTTTCCTGCTTTTCAGAGACAGAAGGCTGCCAGTTTCTGTCACAGCCTGGATAAACAAAAAAACCTAAGGTTGGAAAAGGACAAAATGGGACAGAAAAAAAAACACTGAAGGACGAAAAAGGATGGTCTTGGAGATGAAAAAATATATCATAGTTTTAAAGACGAAGGACAAGAGGAGGGCACAGTATGAAGAGGCTCACYTTGGGCAATAGATGTTAATGTTAATAGCTGTCCTTTGAACAGGCTGATGGACAAAGGACACCACTTTTCTACTTACTCAAACTCACTTTCTGCACTCAGTCAATTAAGTCTGTGAATAATAGTCAATTAAGTCCTTGAAAATACATAGAGTATAACTGCTCAGCCCTGAGCAAACYACTGATTATTTCATCTTCACTATTTTAATATCTGATATACAGTATGTGTACTGCGATCATCTTAGGGTTATTTATCAAAAAATACTCAAATACAAACAACCTACATGTATGCAAAATTTGTCTGAAGTTTGTTCACTGTAATAACTAAGATGAAAACACACACATATACACCCAGAATAATTCCAATTGCATAAGGACAGCATAGATAATCTGTGACAAAATRACACACACACATGGCCTCACCCACATGTGTTTGCGAGTTGGTATTTCTTATAATGTGGGGATGATTTTTGGCATAAATTCTATTTGTAGGGACCAATTGGTAGTTATGGGGACCTGAGCCTGGGGTCAGGGGTTAGGTTGAGGAATAAGGTGTCTGTGAGGTTAGGTTTAGGGTAAGGGGTCAGGGTTACGCTATAGAGATTACTTCAAATTCAAAATTCAAAAAAGAAAAACTTTATTGATCCCAAAAAGAAATTACAGTTCAGAACAATGTATGCAAGAAAGATAAAAAAGAAAAGAAACACATAATGATTGTCAGTAAAATGTTTCCATAAAGAGCTATAGAAAGCACACACACACACACACACACACACACACACACACACACACACACACACACACACACACACACACACCACTCACACAGGTTTGTTTTTTATATCCCTGTGGGGATCGTGGATTGACTTCCATTCATTGTTTGGTAATTTAATAGCCTAACCCTGGCCATTTACCCTAAAATTAACCTCACAGGTACCTACCTGACCCTAAAACTAACCTAAACTCCTAAACCAAACCCCCCACCTAAATGTAACACCTTTATCTGCAATTTAGTGGATGGGCATTTTTTATGTTTGTTTATGTAAATATCTTGTTATAAAAGGGTCACTTTCTCAACATAGCATGGTCACAAAATTATTGCTGTAATTGAAGACACTGCTGTATTTAAGTAGGATCATTATCCAAAGAGATAAATGCTGAAAACGTAAACGGTTAAAACATGTAACACAATTAGTGTCAAGCTGTGTGCAAATTTTATATATCACTTATAACAAGACATGCCATCCTTTTTTTGTTTTTAATTAACATAAAAACAAATCAAAGGAGGAAATAAATGTTATAGTTTTCTACAAATTGATAAAATAATTATATTTTTAACTACACACTAGTCTTGGAATCCATTTTTTTGCAGTCATTATATGATCCCATATTTTGATTATAATTTTTATCATGCACTCAGAATGCTTAATTTGCTTTTACACTGAAGCTCTGAATCTTGAGAGAAACACTTGAGCTAATTAAATTATTTTAGACAGATATGGTCACATAATTTAGAAAGCCAGCCTGAGAACTACAGAGACATTTTTGTTTCCCTCCTTACTATTTGATTGAACTTGGCTTTCATATTTGTAAAAACACTGCAGCTCAGGGTCCCTGGACTAGTTAAGGTTCTTATGTTGGATAAGCCTGATGACATTTTGGAAAGTTGCCATTTGAATTACCAATCACTTCTTTTTTTTCTTGTAAACTTGCAGGTCAAAAGTGCCATCGTTCATGTAATGGCCGTTGCTGGGGCCCCAAGGAGGATCAGTGTCAAAGCTGTAAGTGCATTAGTGTAAAGTATAAATATAAGTGCTTGTTTGGTGGTATTACTTCTCTGACTGGCATTCTTTGAAATGTATTGGACTCACTGACATGTACATTAAAAAAAAAGCCCAGGATCTCTGTCTCCTGCAGCAAAATGTCAATGCTGTGATTATTTTCTACATACCTAGCTATTTTTGTAACTAATTATATTTTAATACATTTTATGTATGCACTGTTTTATGTATTTTTTGTGTTATTATAAAATATATTGTCTTTGTAACAAAGGCTTGCCCTTTAGTTATTTATACTGTACATACAGAACTCGAGAGAAGTCAGGCTTTATGTGGGTAATATATGACTTTAAAGCTGTAAAGAGCAGCAACAAGTAAAAAAAACTCTAAGTTTAATCCAAATTTCATAAATCTCCAACTAGTCAAGATAATATAAATGTGGTTCAAATATGTAGTACTATTTTAACCGGGTGAAATGTAGACACCGCATATTAAAAAAAATAAACAAAACAAATCAAAACAAAAAAAATACACTTTTTTTCTGTTTGGTATGAGGAAACATTGCTGTTTAGTTACTAAGATAAAAGAATGTCATACAAAAGGCTGCTGAACACATTCATTTTAGAACACAGTTACTAATGTTAATGATGGCTTTTTTGTACCTTTCTAAAACTATGTTGCATCTTGCAGACACCATGTAGCATGGAAACCTTTATCATTTCCTGGTTAGGATTATAAAAGTTTTATTTTTATGCATCTCTACTATTTTAACAACAATATTTGTAATTTTAACATTAAGTTATACAGTTTATAGCCAAAAAGTGCCATGTTTTTTAAAGTATATTWAAGAGTTCTTATATTGTGCATGGAACAACAACAGATGAGTTTTTATTTTTTTATTTTTTTGGGTAAAGGGAACAACCTATTTATTTATTTTCTTTTTTATATGTTGCTGTTTTTAGCGTGTCGTTTTGGCATTTATTGCAACGCTTAGTCCTCTTCTTTCTCCCAGTCTCCATGCATTAATCATTCACTCCGTGGCTTCCTTCCCTGGCACTTCTTGTTTGTTTTGTGGTTCTGATCTCATTAAGATAATGAGAAATTAACGGTTGGACAAAAAGTTGACAGAATGTCACTAAGCAGGTTGAGATAAGCCCCAGTCCTGTCTTTCTGATGTCGGTTTGCTGTTCAAACTATATCTATCTCTTTATTTGTAGATGTTTTAACTCAACCTTTTCACACTCCTTCTGTTCTACAGACTTTACCTRCTTAGTCGTGATCTAATGATTCAACATGGTCATATTGCAGAACAATGAAATAACATGAACATTATCACTTTCTTAAAATGTCACTTGTCATTAATTTAACAATATAAACCACTTTAGCTTGCTTGTTAGCATTATTTATTTATTTGTTTATTTATTTATTTAATATTTGTTTATTTTTATATGGACTTGCCAATTTACTTTTTTTATCTTTATGTTTTTTAAATATCTGATCAGTATAAAAAAACTCCAGAGACTAAAAAATAAATCTGTCTTCACAACCTGAATTTATCTGTCTGATCAACTTGACAGCAGTTAAAAGCAGGCACAAATTCAATGACATGCTTTAGAAAGTGGTAGAAGATGAGCATTTGACAGTTCAAACTAAGAACCATTTGATTTGTAATGTGTAGTTACTCCTTATATAACTTTTTTTTTTTAGATTTACTTACAAAAGGAGAAACTTCATCAAAATATAGCAATGACATAGTCCTCTTGACCATTTCCACTGATGATKCAAAAATATTTTTAAACATGCAAAAATGTTTCACTGGAAAATAAAATAAATAATAATAATCTTATCACTAAAGTTATTTTTCAAACCAGAAGTGGAAAACATATATTTTCACTCATGTAAATAGCAACTGGAAGGATGTGGCTCTCGTGACTGATGCTGCTGTCTGCACACTGTTCAAATGGAGGCTTCCAGGCATATTTCATGAGATGGATTCCTTCTCTATTTGTTGTCACCAAGCACTTTTTTTAAGTGAAAGTTTTAAAGCCAAAATGATAAACAGCATTGCATTTCTCTCTCTGGCAAGGTCATTTGTTTGGCAGAGTGTCTTTAAATAAAGCAGGCCCTTTCATTTTAGCCCAGGCACGTTAATGGAATGGTGCTGATGGCACGTTAGGCATGGTGGGGTGAAGTGTGTGCATGAGCGTGCATGTTTGTTGGCGACTTTTCTGATGCGTGTATCTATCAACCTGATAGTATCTTGTCACAGGAATGCTGAGGGGAAATAAGCAACATTTGCCAAAACAGCTTATGTGTGAATCCACAAATACGTAGGTTTACCTTTGAGCTAAAGCTTTATGATGTTGTATATCAATAACATTTGTACTGTTACAACTTGCAGTTTTAGCCCTAATTGTTCTTTGCAACTAACCAATCGTCTTCAGAAATGTAATCAAACTGAAAAAATAAATTTAAAAAATACCAATATTAAAATAGAGTTACAATACATTATTTTTCCATAAATTAATATAAAACGTGTTCCATTTATATTTAACACAATGCCTGTGAGATAAATCAAAAAAAGGTTTATTTTATTTTATTTTTTTTTTTGAAAATAGAAAATTTATGAGGTCCAGATTACATGTTGGGGCTGTGATAGACTTGTAAGTTGTCAATAGAAATTCTGATTTTGCATTAAATATATTTAAATAAATGAACAAGACCAAGAATAAGAACCCGTAAAAACCTACCCTTATATAGCAGGACTTTTTCTCAGAAAACTTTACAGCTTTAGACATCATACAGTCATCCTAAATARAATGTTATTTTCTGCTCCATCYTGTGAGTCCCACAAATTATACTTAAGATGTGTTTCTAACCAGCTGTCTTTGTCTACATCATGTTCAATGTACATTGACATATGGCTTCTTCGAAYAGAGGCGCACCGGTAGCTCAAATAACTGCAAAAGACACACGAGGAAGGAGTGGGCCGCTCTCAGTTATGACAGAAATGCACCTAGTTAAATTGRAATTGTCACATTCAGTGAAAAACCCTGAATAAAGGCAGAGAAAAATATGAGAGTAGATAGCTAGTGGCACAAAAAAAAAAAAAACTCAGCTTCTGTAGAGTTTCTTAGACTAATACACAATATTCACACAGCAATAGAAAAAGTCTAGACAGCTGTGAATGTCCATGTTTCTGCATGCCTATTATCTATGTAAATTTGTTTTTATATTGAAATTTCAGGTAAAACTTTTCTGTGAATGTTAATTTATTTTTGCTAGTACATTTTTGTTATACACCCTCTTTCACTCTACAGTGTATGGCTGTCAGAGAGTAGAGAAGYGTAAATTGTGCCTCAATTACTACTGACAAGAGTAGCCCTTTTTGATGTCACTTGTCATAAACCACTTTTTTTCATTTTTCTTGGAAAAAATACTGTGAAAATGTTTTTTCTTGAATACCTATGCTTCCATTTTACTCTCTAAGATGCAAATATAGTCTATAGCTCTTAAACTTTCAATACATTCATAAATGTGGTAAAATATTGTGTCATAGTTTACTTTGATAGTTTCTGTTTTATTTTACATATTATTTCACAGTAACTAAGACGGTGTGTGCTGAACAATGCGACGGACGTTGCTTTGGCTCCTACGTAAGTGACTGCTGCCATCGTGAGTGTGCCGGGGGCTGCTTTGGCCCCAAGGACACAGACTGTTTTGTAAGTGAACATATTCATCACACAAAAATAGTCARGTCAAATCATTGTATGAAAATTAATAAATACATTTTTGTCAGTTTTATTTCTTTATTATATTTTTATATGATTGGTCTGATCAAATTGTGATTAATATTGCCATTTTTATTAGTTTTGTTTGTCAAATTTACTTAAGAATTCTTGCAACTTTTTCAGCACATCAATACAAAATAATTCATTGCCTTAATGTCACTTCTGTGGCAAATGTATTCAATGACATTTATTTGTTTTCCATCTTTTCTTGTCTGGGCATTATTAAAATAGTTCAATATTGAACAATTCACCCTACCTTATTCAGCTTTATTATGTTTGTAATCAGTTTATTACATGGTAAACTATTCATTCATTTATTTGTTTACAGTATGTTATTCGCTGATCTGACTTTGAATTATTTATCAAGCTTCTGACTCGTACGTCAGGAAGTTGCTGAAGTTTTGTCTACATTAGAAAGCAAAATTTGTTACTCATCTATTTACAATTTCAGTTCAATGTAAGGCTGAGGATCTTACCACATAAAATAAAGTTTTGGAATTGCTTTTAGCAT